ACAGAGCTAAATTTACATGTCTGCCTTAAAGAGGCGGCACACTCCCCGCATGGTATATTGTACTATACCACTATGTCCCTCTGAGTAACAGTACTACTTCTGTAGCAGGTCTCAAATACACTCTGGGTGAGCCACCTTTGACAACTCTCACCTCCACTTTACGAACTTTGCTATCTTGACCTGGGAAGGTATTTACAATGAGACCTGTAGGCCACTCATTCCGTTTAGCCTGTTTGTCCTTTAAAAGGACAAGATCTCCAACTTGTAAGTTAGTTTGTTCTGCTTGCCACTTTCTTCCTGGCTGGAGAGTAGCCAAGTACTCTTGGCGCCATCGTTTCCAGAATGAGTCAGCAAGACCTTGAACTTGCTTCCATTGACTCCGGTACAGATCTTTAAGATCAAGGTCTCCTGAAGGAAAGGATGCAGAGTCCAGTTTCTGAGTCAAAAGCATAGAAGGTGTAAGTACGGTTGGCGCATCTGGATCTGAAGACACAGGAACAATTGGCCGGGAATTCATTATGGCAACTACTTCCGCTATCAGCGTAGTGAGTACTTCGTGTGAAAGAGTAGGAGAATGCATCTTGAGCAACATGCTGTCCAATATGCGTTGAGCGATCCCTATCATTCTTTCCCACGCTCCTCCCATATGAGAGGAGTGTGGAAGATTGAAGTCCCAAGTACAGCCTTGGTCTTTGAGGTATGACTGAAGTGCTGCATCATCTGAAGTTATTCCAAGTTCTTTACACGCACCAACAAAGTTTGTGCCTCTGTCAGAACGAAAAAGCTTTGCTGGTCCCCTGATGGCTGTGAACCGCCTGAGAGCATTTATAAAGCTTGATGTTGACAGAGAGTCTATCACTTCCATGTGGACTGCTCTTGTTACCAAACAAGTAAACATCACCGCCCAACGTTTACTTTCGAATAGACCTCCTCTGGCACGACGGGCAGAGACAGTCCATGGTCCAAAAACATCTAATCCAACTTGTGTGAATGGAGGAGCTTGAACCAGCCGGTCAGCAGGTAAGTTGGACATCTTTTGATTTTCCATACTTCCCCTCAACCGTCTGCAGGAGACACATTTATGTACGGTGCTTGATATGAGTCTTTTTCCTCCCAGGATCCACAAACCAGCAGACCTGATTGCCCCTTCAGTGAAGTGTCTGCCCTGGTGTGCTACTCGTTCGTGATAATATCGAACCAGCAATGTTGCAACATGAGTATTTTTGGGGATGATTATAGGATGTTTCTCTTCCCAGGAGACTGCCGCTAATGCTGCACGACCCCTATCCTCAGTACGTCATCTGAATCTAGAAATGGGTCAAGTTTCCAGAGAGGACTGTGTTTTGAGACAATCTCTCCTTTTGATAGGCTTTTGATGTCTTCTTTAAAGGCTTCTTGTTGTACAGCTCGTATGATTACTGTTCTTGCCTGTATAAACTCATCCGCCTTTGGTGTATCTCTCCTTGAGGATGTAGCACAAGATCTGATTTTCTGGATGAGTTTAGCTATGCCACATACAAAAAAAAGCGCTCAAACCTATGTGAGCCAAGCAATGTTTTAGAAGTCATTGTTGAAAAGGCTGTAATTAGTGGACGCACGTCAACATCATCATCAGGTTCTACTAGCCCAAAGGGCTCTGTCTGGGTAAATGCAACTTCCTTATCATATTTGAGAATAGATGGACCAGAAAGCCAGTTTGTTTCTCGCAAAAGATTTGCTGGAACTGGTTTGGTACCATGGTCTGCAGGATTGTTTTCTGAGCTGATAAAATGCCACTGCCCAGGCTGTGATGATTTCCGGATACGTGCTACTCTGTTAGCAACATATATGTAAAATCTGCGGTTGCTGTTGTATATGTATCCCAACACTACTCTGGAATCTGTGTAAAACTTTACTGCATGGATGTTGGTATCTAGCTCGTCAATCAGAGTATCAGCTAGTTCAACTGCAAGTACAGCTGCACAAAGCTCTAGACGAGGCACAGTAGTGGTGTGATGGGGAGCTACTTTAGATTTTCCCATGCAGAATCCTACAAGACTGTGTCCGTCTTCATCAACTACTCTTAGGTAGGCGACTGCACAGATAGCCATGGTGGATGCGTCAGAAAAAACACACAGTTCTCTATGTGGCGCAGAGAGCAAGGACATAGGTAAGTATGGTCTTGCTACGTGGAGCTGCTCGAGAGATTTGAGAGAGTCTCGCCAGGATTTCCACTGGGTTGCCTTTTTGGCAGGTATCGGGGCATCCCATTCACAATGTTCGATGCTTAGCTCTCTGACTATAGCCTTGCCCTGTATTGTTACTGGAGCTACAAATCCTATTGGGTCAAATATGCTGTTAACAGTGGAGAGAATGCCACGGCGGGTAAAGGGTTTCTCCTCTTGAGAGACGAGGAAGGTAAAACAGTCAGTTTGCAAATTCCAGTTGAGACCTAAGCTTCTTTGCATGGGCAAGGGATCTACACCGAGCTCTAGATCTTTCAGTTCTTTCGCACGCTCTTCAGATGGGAATTCTTCCACTACTTTATTGTGGTTGGATGCTATTTTATGCAGCCGTATATTTGAGTCTGCTAACATTTCCTTGGTCTCTTTCAGGACTTGGATGGCTTCAGCATCAGTGGGAAATGAGGCAAGACCATCATCCACATAAAAATTCTTCAGAACGAATTGTTTAGCCTCCGTGCTGTTTTCTCCTTGCTCTTGCGAGCAGCCTTCCTTAAGCCATATATTGCAACAGCGGGAGACGGGCTGTTGCCAAAAACGTGAACCGTCATTCTGTACTCTGTGATATTTTTGGTAGGGTCATTGTCCTTGAACCAAAGGAAACGTAGGAAGTCTTTGTGATCATGGCGGACTTTGAAGCAATAGAACATTTGTTCTATGTCTGCTGTCACTGCCACTGGTTCCTTGCGAAAGCGAGTGAGCACTCTTAATAGAGTGTTATTTAAATCAGGGCCACTCAACAAGATGTCGTTAAGAGAGACACCTTCATGTTTAGCGCTGGAGTCAAAGACTGCTCGTACTCGGCCTGGTTTACGTGGATGGTAAACCCCAAAGATCGGTAGGTACCAGCACTCTTGTCCATCAGTGGGTGATGAAACAGGTTCAGCGTGGCCTGCCTCAAAGATCCCCTGCATGAAGGTAATCATATGCATTTTCAGGTCTGGCCTTTTTTTGAACATGTGTAGTAAGGTTGAAAGACGTTTGACCGCTTGTGCACGGTTGTTGGGGAGTTTGCGCCTTGGTTGTTTGAAGGGCAATGGTGCCACCCAATTGTTTGCATCATCCATGAAGACCTCTTTATCCATTATTTCTAGAAAAACTTTGTCTTCTACAGACAAGGCAGGCTTGTCATCATGTGGGGTTTGATGGAAGACTCCTTCCCCGATGTTACCTTTCTCCTCAAACAGGTCTTGAGATGGGTTAGCTACAGGAAAATGAATGTGATGGATTGCTGTGTCTAATTTCTCTTTAATATGAAGACTGTTAGAACAAGGCTCGAACAGAGATGCACGTCCATTGCTCAGCACATTGCTGCGGTAGACATTTACAAGCTCTGGTTTGTGCGCTCTTCCAACACAAACCTCTCCTACAATCACCCATCCCAAGTCGAGGCGTTGTGCATAGGGGGCATTGTGAGGTCCATTGCAATACTCCCGAACCTTGTGTGCCCTTGGTACATCACGACAGAGCAGGATGAGGATGCCTGCTGAGGGGTCTAGAGCTGGGATTTTATCCATGACCCGCTTGAGATGTGTATAATGTTTGGCAATTTCAGGCGTGGGGATTTCAGACCTGTCATCTGGGAGCATGTCACATTCAATTAAGTTGGGAAGTGGAATTTGATTCCGTCCATCCAATGACTCTATTACAAAATTGTTAGCTCGTCACCCCATGGTTTCGATAACTCCTGAGCAAGTCTTTAATGTGTATGCTGCTGTGCCCTCTGTAACACCAAAGAGTTAAAAAAACTCTGATCTTGCCAGGGACTTATTGCTCTGCTCGTCAAGAACAACATAAGCCTTAACCGCTTTCTCCATCTGGCCAGCTGGATAAAGTCTGACAAGACAAATTTTAGAGCATGACCTTGCTCTGAGTGTACTTCCACATATTTCAGTACATTTTGATATGACAGCTGAAGGAGTTTCTTCTTCTTGCTCCCCGCCTTGATCTCTTGTACTCCCGGAAGTCTCTGTAATCCAGGGGGGTGCTCCTGGGTGTAATGCAGTAGGGTGGTTCTCGCTTTTACACTCTCTGCACTGTACGCTTTTTGAACAGTCCTTTGCTAGGTGAGAGGTTGATGCACAGCACTTAAAACAGATATTATTTTCTTTAAGGTAAGTTTTTCTCTCATCCAAAGGTTTGCTGCTGAAACCGCGGCAGTTCCTGAGAGGGTGTGGTTTGTTGTGGAGCGGACACTGCTGGTCTGGGTCAGCCATTCTTTTCTCTGAGGGTTTGCTATGACTGCTGTTCAATTGTGTTGAGATTTCTGTCTTTTTGACAGAGATGGGAATTTTCATGTTATGTTTAAGGGAGGGTTCTGGTCTCCCTGACCTTGAATTACCTGTGAGTGAGGCAAAGCTTGGGTCGTTGAGTATTTTGGCTTGATCACAAACAAACTTTGCAAAAAATGAGAATGGGGGATAAGATATCTGGTTTGTTTCCTTGTAACGAGATGCCAGAGAGACCCACTTGTCGTGCAATGAGTATGGCAGCTTCTGGACAATTGGAGTGATGCCTCGAGACGTATCCAGGTAACTGAGTCCTGGTAAAAAACCGTCTGCTCTGGCAGCCTCAAGCTCCAAGAGAATATCTCCTAGTTCTCTCAGCTTTTGATTTTCTCGACTTGAGATTCTTGGAAATTAATCCACTTTCTTTAAAAGTGCATCTTCAATTGCTTCAGGTGATCCATAACATTCTTCCAATCTTTGCCATATCATGTGTACGCCAGCCGTTGCATCATTGATGTGAACTGCTCGTATCCTTCTAGCATGCTCGGATGATTTTGGTGCTAGCCATTTACATAAGAGGTCAAGCTCCTCTCTTGATGTTAGGTTTAGGTCTTCTGTAGAGCTGTGGAAAGATTGTTTCCAGGCCCAATAATTTTCAGGTTGATCATCGAACCTCAACAACCCAGAGCTTATCATCTCCCGACGAATTAGATACTTTGTCAAGTCTGTCGTAGATGATGAAGTGGGCTCACTAGGTCCGGCAACAGTACCAGTTTGACGCTGAGGGGGTTGGTAGTTGCTGTTGAACTGATTCCTGTTACATGACTGTATTTTATGACTGCATGAATCTTTGAATGGGTTTAAGCCATGTTGATGTTCCTGTTCAAAGAAGCCTGTCCTGCGTGAGCGGTGAGTATCAGGGTAGTATGGAGCAGCATTTTCATTCAGATTGGATGATTGTAAGATAGGTAAGTCAAAGTTACCACCTTTTTGCAGCTTTTCTTTTCCTTCTTCAATATTGTTTTCAGCCGTATTAGCATTGTCGATTGGTATTTGGCAAATGAGTTTTGATGTGGGCTCATGCAGCCTAGAATCAGGGTAAAGCTCAGTAATTTTATGCTCAGCAAATTCATTTCTCTGGCTAGCTTGACTTAACTCCTCCACCTCGTTCTCAGCAGCTGCTTCTAGAACATTGGCTTCAGCTATGGCTGCTGCAGCTTCACTCTCCAGTCTCAATGTATGCAAACTAGCTTGCAGTTCTGCTTTCTTTCTAGCAGCTGAGGCTACTGCTTTTTGTTGCTCCTCTTCAATATGTGCTTGTGCTTTCATCATTTCTGCTTCTTTTTGTGCAAATAATGCTTGCGCACGTGCAGCCTCTGCTTTTGCACGTGCTCTGGCTGCAATTGCACTGGCTGAAGAACGTCGACTGGCACGTGACATGTTGGAGCATATTGACCGTGTCTCAAGCGTGTCATCATTACTGTTCATTGTAGCTTGAATGGCAGAAGAACTGTTTCCACAGGGATTCACTTTTCTGTAAACAACCCGTTGGAAAGATGCCTTTTTACTATTCTGCCCTCACTAGAGGATGAAGCTGGGTTCTAGCTTGGCAGACAGCTTAACAGGTCCACGATAAACATCCAGGAGTCAGCAGGGACGTTTTAGATATTTACTGTAGAAGGCACTGTAAAACTGCAATACAGAAAAACAATAAATGAATAATGTTACATTTATGATGTATTCATATGTATTTTGTATTAATAAACACTTAATAATAAACTTTCATGTACTTTATGGGTATTTCATAAAGATATAATAACACAATCAGAAGTTTTTCCCCAAGAACCGAGCGGTTAGCTCAATGCTAAGAATATATGTAAAATTCCATAGACGGGCTAATGCATTAGCATCACAACCGTTTTTACTAGAGATAAAAACGTTCACACACAAGATTCTCAACTGTAACATAAAACTATGATAAATACGCTCAACGGAACAAACATGTATGACTTACAGGCATGTGCTCTTTCAGGCTTAGCAAGAAAAGATGAACCAATATGCAAAAAATATAACAGTTAGCTTAACGGTCATCTCCAGTTGAGAATAACTATGGCAAGTCTACCGGTACAAATTACATACATACGCACGCACATGCGTGCGCACACACACACAGAGCTAAATTTACATGTCTGCCTTAAAGGGGCGGCACAGTAAGTGATCTGAACGTTTCATGATGATAGCACTTTCCTAAGGGGGTCAAACCATGTCCCAAAGGTCACCGGATCTGGTGTCAATTTAAAGAAGTGGTCCAGTTACACATTTGTGGGCTTATAACTTGGCTTCTGAATGTCCTAGAGAGATTAGGTTTGTTTTAGTGTACTCCAATCAACAGCCCCTACAACCACAAAAAGGAATGGAGTCATTAGCACTTATGGTTTGTAAATGGCACCCAGAATTATGTTGCACGAAGCACAATTTCACATCATTCTGGGTCCATTTGTGTGAAAACAAGGTCCAATCAGGCTGAAACGCTACAAGAAGGTAGAATCTATTGAGTTGTAAGTGATCTGAACGTTTCATGATGATAGCACTTTCCTATAGGGGGTAAAACCATGTCCCAAAGGTCACCGGGCCTGGTGTCACTTTAAAGAAGTAGTCCAGTTACACATTTGTGGGATTATAACTTTTCTTCTGAATATCCTAGAGAGGTCAGGTTTGTTTTAGAGTACTCCAATTAACAGCCCCCATTACCCCAATTAGGAATGGAGTCATTAGCACTTATGGTTTTTAAATGTCACCCAGAATTATGTTGCACGAAGCACAATTTCAGATCATTCTGGGTTCATTTGTGTGAAAACAAGGTCCAATCAGGCTGAAATGTTACAGGAAGGTAGAATCTATTGAGTTGTAAGTGATCTGAACGTTTCATGATGATAGCACTTTCCTAAGGGGGTCAAACCATGTCCCAAAGGTCACCGGATCTGGTGTCAATTTAAAGAAGTGGTCCAGTTACACATTTGTGGGCTTATAACTTGGCTTCTCAATGTCCTAGAGAGATCAGGTTTGATTTAGTGTAGTCCAATCAACAGGCCCTACAACCACAAAAAGGAATGGAGTCATTAGCAC